GTAGGGAACTGACACAACCCCGGAATACGCATATATACAAATTGATATAAAAATTTATAAATATTTCCTTTCTTTACTATTCTGCTTTTTAAATAGTTCACGATCTGCTTAAATTTTTTAAAATTGTTTGCTTTTTTTTTCGCTTCATCTTTAATTTAAACATTCCTTTTTTGCAATGAAATATACTATTTTTCTTTTGCATGTAAATTTTTTATATTTAAAGCGATTTATTATGTGCTGAAGTGTAGTTAAGCGAGTTTTAGCAGGTGGCATAAACGAAGAGATATATGAATATATGGTTAAATAATGATAAATCATATGGATTACCATTGCACAATTAAGCAATATTGAACAATAAAATATTTAAGTCCAATATTTATGGCAATTTCATTCGTATTTTTGTAAACAAAACCCATTTTTAATGCAAATTTAAACGTAGATTTAAAAAAAAATTGTGTATAAAATTTAATTTAATTTGTATTCTGTGGCCAGGACATTTGCTGGGTGCTGCTTCCAGAGCTTTTGTAATGGCGCAATTGTCGTAATTAATGAAAAACCGTGCAAAGAAAATTTGTAAAGCCAAAACCTGACCTTTGGTTTTTGCAGCTGTGTGTTCTTGGGCAGACGAACTCCTCGACTCTTCCCCCGCATGTAATTTGTATCTTGTGTTGTGTTTTTGGGGGAAATTAATTTACGAGGTGAAACTTGTTTGCGCTGTGCCTGGAACCCTTTTGCGCTCCGTCAGGCTTCGAGTCCATTGAAGCGTTTAAATTGCTGTCAACAAAAAGGCAAACAAATAAATAAAAGCCAAAAGCATTCGCAGCGAAGCAGGGGTTCGTAAGGGTGTAGAAGTTTCGGCCATCAAATGACCCATGGCAACCAGAGCGAAACGTGCGCCAGGACCAAATGATTAACACGTTCCCAGGGAGCTGCTGCTATAAAACGTAACCCAAGGTAGCTCGAAAATATGCACAGCATGGAGGAGCAGGCGCTTTAATTATCATAGGGAATATGGAGGAATTGAAGGACCTGGCCAAATCAGATAGAAATCCTCAAGTGAAGGCACGCGCCACACGTTGACGTTGACGTTGACGTTGATGTTGACGTGGCATACACACAAATGCCACACAATGGGCTCAAGAAAATCCCGCCCCGAAAATAACGAAAATGAAGCGCAACGAAATAAAACTGGCAAAGGGGTACCACACGAAAAACATGAAATTGGCAAAACAGGTAACCAGTTAACATTCTGAACACTCAAACAAAAGGTATTGGTTAGTTAGGATTAGAATGCGACAAGGCATATAAAGCTATGTGAAAAAATAAAAATATATATATATATATAGATATAAAGATGCCAATTCTTTTGTCTGTATGTATACATAGACATTTTTTCATCTCTTCTAATCTTCTATGCAATTCTCATGGATTGAAATAGATGCCAAAGATATTCACTGTTGTTTTAATTAACCTGTATGTACCGCTCAATATCTTACTGTTCCTGTCAAACCATTATATATGTATATATATTATATATCTTTCTCATCTTATTTTTCTTTGTCCCTCTCTCTGTCTCTCTTTATCTTATTTACTCTGTGCCTTTCGCTCTCACACTTTTTCTCTCTATCACTCACTCATTCTCTCGCTATGTGTGTATGTGAGATAGATCACTTCTTCTTACTCTTTTTCGCTTACACATTCTGTAAGTCTCCCTTTCTCTCCTTTACTCTCTCTTACTCTGCCATTTTCTGTCACTCTATATAGCTCAATCTCTCTCTCTCTCTCTCTTTTTTATTTCCCTATAACTATCTATCCCCCTCTCTCTCTTTCTCTACTATTAGCTTTTTTCCCTGTCAATATATTTTTCTCTCTTTTTTCTGCCTCTTTCTTTTTCCTTACGTTTATTTATTAAGGTTTTATATCTGAATGTGAATTTAATTTATTTACTTTTATTTGTGTGTGTTACACAATTTTTGAAGTGTATGTTGAACAGGTTAATAAATAGTATCTCGGCTCTCCAATGTCGGCAAATGGCCAATGACGCAAATGGCGACCAGTTTTTGCTGGTCATCATTTATAATGCATTCAAAAGCCGCAGGAACATAAAAAAAAATACAGGCACAGCTATAGATACAGCTCATTGGTATCTATATACAGAAGTACGTATCTGTTAGCTATGCCCTGTCAGAGGCTGTTAATCCGTCAGCAGTTCGTTGTTCCCAGTACCTTTCCCATTCCCGACGCAGGCTCTTGAGTGCCAGAAGGACGTAATCGCTTGTTGGTCCTTTATAAATGCTTAAGAGCGAAAGGCAAAGGCACAAATACTTTTGGCCAGCAGCTGCTGCTGCTGCTGGTCAGATGGGGTGACATAATCAAATCAATAATTTATGAGTTCACTTTGCTTTAAGCGGATTTACATGGCGTGCACTTCAGCAGAGGCAGCAGCAGCCAGTCAGAGGTGGAGGAAAACTTTTTGCAACTGAAACTGAAACTGAAACCGAAACCGAAACTGAAGCTGATATCAATTAGGTGGAAAGTGATAAGTTGACGCCTGGAACTGTCAGTTGTTTGTCTAACTTGCGACTGTCACAACCCATACGGGATTAGTTGTTAGAGGAGGCGGAGGTGAGGTCTAGTGGGTGGAGTATGGCTATTTCAGCAGCTCTAACGATGCGCACGCTCCACGCGCTGTGGAAGCCGTTCGGCATGTGGATGATAATGCTCAAGAGTAATGCGGCCCAGCCAAGCGTGCGATGTGGGAAAAGGAGGGCTGAAAGAAGAGCGAGTAGGTAGGTGCCAAACTTAACAGCAACCCTGAAAACAACAGCTGAAAGACTGACGATTCACTGTTACAGTCCACAGGGGAAATAATTGCAAAAAGCAAACGAAACATCAGAAAAACTGTCAAGAGCTGCGCTCTGTTGCTTACTTTTTGCGGCTGGTTTTCTATTTGTTCATCAGTAGCAGCAGGCAGCGACGCGTACAGCGCAGTTGGCGTCGCAGCTGCAGCAGTAGCAGCAGAAATAGGCAGCATCTAAAGGCAACAAATGAACGAATTCAGTCAATTGCTTTTGTTTGGCTGCCAAAATTGCTGGTTACGATTGGGACAAGACACAAAGCGCTGGACTTCATAAACGCAATAGTCTCCTGAGATAAATTATGCAAGCGCAGCAGAGGCACCCTGTAGAGACTCCTGTATATCCATAGCACGAACACGATTTGACTAATTTGGCATTGCAATGTACTTTTTGTATTTGGTTTTCATTTTTCAAATGCTGCACACAGAGCGTGAGGTAACATCAACATTCCGGTTACGATTACAATGACCCCCATGATCTCGACCATCATAGCTGTCTCTCCGCCTTCCCTTACATCTGCTTCATTTCGTCCGTTTGTCATGTCCTTTGTGCAGTCGTCGCTTAGCGGTAAATTTAGCACTGCAAACGCAACAAAAGGCCAAAGTTGAGGCCAACCAACCAACCAGGCCGGCAGGCATCCAGCCAGGCCAGCTATCTGCTCTTACTGCTGTTCCTGCTCTCTTTGCCTCTTTTGGAATGTGTCCTCTCTGTGGGCTAGCAGCAAAATACCCGCAGTTTAAAGTTCGCCTCGTATTTCTGAAGCAAGGTTTTCCCTTTTGCCAGTTGGACAATGTTGACGACACATTCAAATATGCACAACAGATACCTCCCACTCTCTTTCACTCTCTCTCTCTCTCTCTATAGCACCCCCTTCCTGCATTCTGCTTGGCCTGTAACAATGCGGCATATGATTATTTGGCTGATAATGTAAGGGCAGTTCTTGTTCAGTTTGAGGTTAGTAGAACCGTTTTTTTTAGTTTAATTCCACTTTAAAGTTATGCTGTCCAGGAACACGTAGCAGGAGACAAGCGGAAGTGTCGCTATTGAACAGCGACCGGAAGTTGACAATCGTGAACTGACAATCACCAATTGAGATGGCTGCAATCAGCGCAAGTCATTTCGGGAGTTCAGCTTTCATGATTGGTAGACGGATTAGGAGCTAGAGCTGAAGTTAACAATGAAAGCTAAATCCTGTTTAAATAAGCTATAGCCAATCCTTGGAGAGGGGCATGTTGGGGCATGGCCAATCTCTGCAGTGATTTGCTGATTGGCTAAAAGTGTTCAAGCCACATATTTCATACTGTGCAGTTTGTTGGGCAGTTGGTTGGAGTTCAGTGGAAGTCCGTCGCTGCTGTTTGTTTTCCCATTTTTCCGGCCACATTTTCCGCTGTCTGCAGGCCGCAATTTTGATTAATGGTCAAGCTTAGAGGCGCCGTCGACTTTTTTATTTCGGCAATTATGTTGTTTAGAGCTTTGCCACGTTTTTCACACCTCGAACATTTTTCATGCAACGGCAACGCTGCTGAAAGCACTTTTAAAAGTGTGGACTTTGATTTCATGTTTCGAGGCTTGTCAGTGACATGCAGCATCATTAATTCTATCCGAGTCCCCGTTGCCCCTGCCACGCTCAATGTCCCCGGCCAACACTCAACTGACTGTCATTTTTCAAGTTTTTGGGATTTTTTGACGTTTGACAAGTGTTTCCGACTGCATTAGAAAGGTGGCAAAAGGTGCAGTCGGTCCATGGGAGCAAAGCCATACCAATATCTCCTACAATCTCCTTTAACAATCTGTCTTTTTCTTTCCGCCTCAACTAAGACCAAATTTTATACAGATAAAAGCATTAAAATGATCAAAGCTGCGTCGAAGTTCGCATGCCCTTTCTCTCTAACCATAGTAATCAATATAAATATAATATAGATATATAATAACGATAATGAGGATAAAGTTAAGGCTAAGGATAATGATAATAATAATGATAATGATAATTAAAATGTCATTAATAATATTAGTCATATATAATTAAAATAAGAATAAAAATGGAAATGAAACAATGTTCCTTGCCAATGCCAATACCCAAAGGATTACGACTTTAATAATAATAAATAATGATAATAATACTAATGACAACACCGATGCGGACAGAAATAAAAATATATATTTATTTTTCACTCGACGACACCACATAGCTAAGTATCGAAGAGACTTGATTTGGGAGAATAATATAGAGAACTGTCTGCTATGGCCAGCTTCCAGATAAAGTGTTGTCGCGTGGCTGCACCACGTGCCTTATCGGCATAGCACAACCGCAACCCCAGGTTTGACCGGTAATTAGCTAAGGCAATACGAGCACAAAATGTCTGATTAAATGAGGCATGAAACCCGATTTTGGCCAATGCATAACGTAATTGCGCATATATTATGTGCATACACATAGGGTAAGGTGGGTCGCTACAAACGTTTATACAGGCTTCTTACCACTCGGCTTGTGGGGATCCGCCAGCCACTGGGTGCCATCGTGTGGCAGGGGACTGGACACAAACGGCGACAGCGCAATCCAGAACATTCGCTTGCCTAAAACCGTTTGCATATTGTTCCAAAAGCCCAAATCGTAACTGCGATCATATACACAGTACAGACAGCTGCCACGACTGGCCATGTACAGCTGGATGATTAGATGCGCGCAGGCCAGTACGAGGGCAAAGATATTTAGCTTGAGTATGCCACCCGTGATGAGCATCCAGGAGAGTTGCGGAGAAAGAGGCTTATGTGTGAATAACATGTTCATTAGATTAGAGGTATCCAAGTCCATAGAAATTTGAATGGGATCGGAAAACATTTGGCTATGCTGGCTGAACAAATGATATACATTATAGGTCAAAGCGGTGCAGCAGCCCAGCGACAAGTGCAGGAGTAGGCCGACAAAATAGCGTTGATTAGCATGCCCTATACAATTGCCTGTCACGTTGCAATGATGATCCCGTTTCAGCATACAACAGTTGCAGAGCCGGCAGTGCCAGGCCCTTGGCGGCACCAGCATCTGGCAGTGAGTGCACAAGTGCCACAGATGCGCCTCCGCTGGCGTAGGATTCAAGCGATCCAGTGGCAGGCCCACAAAACTGGTGTCCGTGCGCCAGCACATCACCATATTGCCAATGATATTGTGCAGCAGGAACATCATAAACAGGCAGTGAAACTTATAGTAAACGCCCGATACATCGCTGCACTCGGGCAATATATAAAACAATTCGTAAATAACAAAGAATCCAATGGCTAGTAGCATAAGAATAACCGATAGCGGGTGAACTATTTGAACAATTCGCACACGATGTGCGCTAATGCATCGCCAGACTAGCTGCTCCACCCAGACGACGACCCGCAGCATCTTCCACAGCAATCGAACGAAAATTTTGGCCATTATTGTATATATAAGAAACTTCCTTCTCGAACTGGACTAGTGAATTATTGAAAGTAGTATTCGGTTTGCTGGGTTTCCCTGTCATTTTGAAAGGTTTCGATACATTCGATAATCGCATCAGGGATTCAAAATTTCAAAATAATGCAAATGGAATCTGTGTTCTTTCTGTTGGAAATGATAAGCCGCTTAACCATTTGCAATTATGTGACTTGGCTAGCAAAGAGATGGCGTATGTTAAGGGTAGCTCCTGCCAAGCAAAATTTAATATATATGAATGGAATTATTATAAATATTTCCCTTTTCTAATAAGCTCTACACTACTCACTGCAATAGCTAAGGTCAACATTTTGTGTAAACAGTTTCTTCTACACAGAAAGTATTTACACCTAATATTAATGAAGATATTTACGACATGTTCCGTACCATGTAATGTATATCTATATACATATATAGTTATCTATATACATGTTTCCCTATTTATCTTTTTTGATTCACAACTGCAGCGGGGAAAGTTCCTAATCCACAACCAAAATGCATTTCTCACTAAAGCTTTGCTCACCTTAAATTTTTTATTAATAAAAATGCTCAAAAGCAGCTTATGAATTTAATAAAGATATACATAAGCGTAACAGTTCATATATATATATGTATATATATATATATATATATATGTGTATATATATATATATATTTTTTAAATATATATGCATATTTAAAATTTCTAAATGGATATGACAGCTGTGTGTTGCGTTTATTCTAAGTTTTAGTGCAACCGAACTATATTTCATTTCATAAAAAAGAGAGAATATACGCAATAGAGTGAAATGAAATACGAAGTGCACTCGTTGAGAGTGCTCGACGGGAAGATATCTTGTAGTGCGGCAGCTTTTCATTTTGATAATGCCAATGATATTCATATTTATGTCAACAGAATTATTATTATTGCCAAATAATAAAGAAATTAAATAAGTTTCTTTCATCTTGTTCCAACTCTTTCCATGATTATATTTACAGGGTATTTTAAAATGTGTAACTTGACGCTCGCTTTCAAACACAAAACAGCAACAGCTGCTGTGTTGCAAACAATGCGGGGCAAGCGGCTGGAGACGTCGAAGCTTTCAAACTGACACCGAAAAACAGACACGAGCCAGCACAAATGTTGTCTATTTCGCATAAATTTCTATGAATTATTAAGTTGAAGCGGGTATTTGAAATGCGTACTGCGCGGTTCGCCATTTGACTTTGCGGTTGTATGCCCGACCCCAAGCTCAACCTCTGTCAAAGCAACTGCGTTTCTGCATAAAGTAAACATTTGGCGAGGGGTTGAGGTGAAGGTAAAGGAGGCGTGGCTGGCGTTGCCCACTTGAAGTGTAATGTGTTTGCGTTGTTTGCACACACCGGAAGCAAACAAACAGCCATTTTAGCTGGCGCCTCTCGCGCTGTTACGCCATTTCCGGTCGTTGAAGGGCCTGGGATTGCTGGAGTTCTGGCCTGGTGTAAGGGCAGGCACTTCAGTGGCAACTGGGTGGCATGTTTGTCAACCTGTGGCATTCTTCAAACTGACTTCGAGTCATTAACATTCCCTTCGACATTTGTTGGCAAAGTTTTTGGCGTAATTGCAGCATTCGCTGCTAATTTTAGGTGACTCCGCTGCGTCCCTCCTTTTTATTCTTCTTGATTTTCATTATGCTGTCGTAATGTGAGACGCAAGTATGCCAAAGCGGAAAGTTTTTACTTTTTACGAAGTTCTACGAAACTCCGTCCGACCGTCCTCTCACTTCGTCTTACACTCTCTCTCTCTCTCACTCTCTCTCTCTATCTGTCTGTTTCATACTCGCTCGCTCTTCAATTTTCAAGCAATTACCTGGCGTGTGCCGCCCCCATGGCAACAACTGGTCTCCATGTAATTGAGTTTCGAGGAAAAATAATTTTTGTAAAATTAGATATGAAACACAACAAAAATAAAAATTGGGCGTAAGCACCTTTTCTGCGTGAGCGGCATATAAATGAATTTAAACCAAGTTGAGTACAACAGTTAGGCAACTGAATAGATGATACCCTGATCATGTATGGTAAGTATATCCCATTCTGATCGAGCATTGTTTGATTTTTAACATAAAGTTGGTATTGAAATGCTTTAGTTGCAAACAATTAAAGGTTTTTGAGAAAAAGGTTTAATATGAGCAACCTCAAATGACATAAAGTATCAAATCAGGGCTCTATTCTAAACTACCTTATAGGCCGCTTTGTACTCAAACAGAGTATGTGGACATGGCTTGTCAGGATGCTTGAAACATGTGTCTCTGATTATCGTGCATGCTCTGTTATTGTTAAAAATATTTCAGTTTAAATTCATTTAAAATGTTTGCAATTAGAGTACAGCTCAAATATTATTGTGGCTAAAATTTATGTTGCAATTTATTTAAGCCTGCGGCAGACATTAATTTTGGTCGAAACCACACCCATATGAAAGGGGCCATGCAGCGTCTGGAAGCAACATTTATTTGCAGACATCGACACCTGAACACAATTTATTATGAAGGTCGGGCCGGTCCGATTGTGCAATAGACGAGCAATTTTTAATGAACCATCAAAAAGGCAATCGGAGTCAGCGTCAACGTTGCGTATGAGTGATTTTCCAACTCGCACAGTGGTGCTGGCACCAGCTGCAGCTTAACAAAAGAAAAAAGTAAATAAACAGCTTCTGCTGCTCGGCCTGGCAAATATGTGGGGCATGCTGAATATTTGGCACTTGGCGCCCAAAGTGAATCGGCATTTGGGCAAAATGAGTTGGAACTTTGCCTGTCTGCTCACCTTTTGCTTTCTTCCCATCTTCTACTCGTTCTGGCTCTCGCTCTCTTCGTCTCTCGTTGGGCAGGTGACATATTTTCCTTGTAGCGCAGCACATTTCCTGCTTCATTTTCATTTTTGTTTTTCACGTAAACATTTTTTTCATTTTGTTTGCCAATGTTTTGCGCCTTTCGACATGAGTTTGACATTCGCACAGGCCGACGGAAATGTTTGCGGATGGGCTGCAGGCTCTGCTCGTATGGCGGCTACAATTGATTGATACCCGTAAATAGGTAGAGTATTTAAGGCTTATAGGTGGGCGTATTAACTATGGCGTATGTATTATGAAATTTTGATAAAGTGATAAAAGCGAGAATCTCAACAAATAAAATAAGACTCAAATTTAATGTGTATAAAATTCAATTTATATTTATATAAAGTATCTTTCTGATATGTTTGAATGTATTGTTTTTACGTTTTAGATAATCACATATATAATATACAATAAATTCTTTTATATACACTTGTCATGACGTCTTGTCTTTTTTACAGCTTTAAAATTCTAAGACAACTAGAGTATTTAATTATCAAAGAACTGTTTGCTCTTTCATTTGTTCCTTTTCTCCTCTCCGCTCTCTGTTACGAGCCTTATTCATATTTCTCTATGTGGACCCTTAAGTTTCTTTTATTCAAATATTGAAATAATAATAGTCTATATATATAATATATATATATATTTATATATATATATATATATATATATATATATATATATATATATATATATATATTTATAGATTTATTGCTAAAGTTTTCTGATTACTTTTTGTGGCATTGGGCGCGAGCATATTTAAAATGCCGCCTGCGTTGCGAGGACCCCGTTGCTGATTGAGTCGGCCACACAGCGGCACAGCTGCGGCAGTAAACCAAAAAAAAAAACGAGCAAAATAAAAAATGAAATAAATAGAAAAGCCAAAAAGTTCGCAACTGGCGCACAAAGGCGACCGAACTATTTACGGGACGCGAGTCGCATAGTTGCCAACTGAAAAGCAATTAAAAACTAATTACTGTAGACTCCTCACACATAAGCAAAGGTGGGCGAAAATGCGACAAGCATTTAATACAAATTTAAAACTTAATTCTGTAAATACCTGATGTGGACAACAGGCAGGCAGGCAGGTGGGCGGGTGGAGGACATGGCTGACAACGCGGATAATTAGAGCAAGAGGAGAAACAAAAGCCAAGAAGACTTTGGAGAAGGTGGAACATAGAGAGCGGGAGAGATAGAGCAAGAGTAGGTGTCGATGAGGGGTAGGAAGCGGCGGCAGGTGCTTACCTGACTTTGTTCTAGTGTTGCGCAGCCAACGTCGCGTATGAGCAATTAGTAGTTAATTGTGAAGTTACCCGAGGCGGTGCCAGGAAATGGAGCTTGCTACACTGCAGCACTTGTGACATTGACGATGCCGCACGGATGAGAATGCCAATGGGGCAAACGTGAAAGATAGATAAGAAAAGAGAGGATGGAGGGATAGACGCAGAGCCAACGCCGTGTAATTAAGTAGCAATTTTTGCTACTGCAGCAGAATTTTTAGAAGCTGGCGACTCATGAATGACAGTGTGTGTGGGTGTGAGTGTGTGCGCATTTGATAAATTATCGCAACTAATTAGCGTATCAATAGCGCTTCAACAAAAGCACACACAGCTGCGCTCGAAGGCAAACAACGGGGTAGGATGAGGCGGTTGACTTGATGAATTATTTAGATTAGTAGAATAAATATTTGGAAAATGGCAAATCTGTTTATTAACAGTTGCTGAGAAATATTTTAAGTAGCAGGCTATATATAGTAAGCTGTCGATTAAATTAATTGCCCATAAATTATAAGGATTAGTTGGCAACTATGTTAAAAGCTCGATGGGAGTAGAAGTGGAGAGGAAAAGTTTACTTGGGAAGTGCATAGAAGTGTTCTAGATAATGGGAAGTGTAGAGAAAGGTGGAAAATTGGTTAAGCCGTTGCCGTGTGTTTAGTTACTTGCAGACTATTGCTCGTCGATAAGAAGTAGTTGCAGGAATCTAATTAACAGCTTTTACAAAGTAACAATATTCTAGAGAACAGTTTCGCTCCACTTGCTGGCAATGGCCAAATGTCAATTGAATTGGGTATCCAATAGATCAGTGACTGCAAAGCGCTTAAGTACCACTTAAACAATGCTCAAACTAATTGAAAGCGAGCGCCGAGCGAAAGCTGAAAAGCCAAAACAACAGCAAAGCAATCTGAAATCAAG